TTTTTTTTTAATATATTTTGATGATATTATTATTGTTTCTGTCATATCTTGATCATCACGTATATTTTCTCGTAATTTTTCTTTATATTGATGTGATTTAAATTGTTCATCCATAGCTGGACATTGATTCATTTTTATTTTTCGTTCATATTGTTTTTCATTTATTGAAAAATTTTTTTGTTCATAAATTTCTGCTGATTTTAAAGTTATTTGATGAAATTTTTGTTTTAATGTATCATTTATATTAAATAATAAAATATTAAGTGGAAGAAGATGTCCTTCAGTTGTAAATATAAATTGATCAATATCAATATAATCATGTGGAATTGTATCAAATAATAAATAAAGATATTTAAATGTTTCAGCTAATACAAATGAATCCATACGATCTTCTTTTTGACCTGTAGAAACATCAGATAAAGCAGCATAACCACATGGTACACGAGCATGTTCTTCTAAATTAGTTAAAATTGTTTTACCAACTTCCAGATAATGTGGATCACCAGTAGCCTAGAAAACCAAAAAAAAAAGTTATTTAATAGATTTTTATTACTAAATAAGTCATATTTTATGAGGAAATCATGACATCCGAGTTTTCGACTAAAAGTTTCATATATTGTTTTTATAATATTATTTCGATCTTACAAACCTAACATTGTCGGACTCCGTTCGATTTCATATTATGCCTATGATTACGTTTCGGTGGAATTAAGTCAATCTTAAAATAATTCGGATTCATAGCCCGTTGGCGAAGAGTTATGGATGTTTTAATGGAATTTTTATTGAGAACAAGGCTTTGCCAAAAAATCCAAAATAGAGAGTTTCAACGAAAATGAACGTGTCTTTCTCGAGATATTCAATTATTTGTCCTCTTATAATAAACTGCCGCTTTTTTGGAAATTTAATATCTCAAGAAAGACATGTTCATTTTCATTGAAACTCTTTGTTTTGAATTTTTCAGCAATGACTTGTTTTCAGTAAAAATTTTATTAAAATGTTCATAACTCTTTATCAATAGGCTATGAGTCTGAATCTTTTAAAGTTTGTCTTAGTCTCACCGAAACCTACTCGTAATCATAATACGAAATCGAATGGCGTTCGACAGTTGGGTATATTCCTTCGTTTATTTCCATATGGCTGGACTTCTCATTCAATACAGACGGTATACAAATGAATACCTAGATAATTATCCTATAAATTTTCATTGTTATTCAAGCTTACTACTTTTTCAGCTCATTTCTATGCAATGAAAAGAGATATTACATTTTTTGTGATTCCTATATGGACCTATTAATACCATCAACTCGTATTTTCTTTATATCTGGCTTAAATATTGTATCATTTGATGGTTTTTGTTTTTTTAATCCAATAAATAAACTAGTAGAGATTACATTGCTTACTATTAAAGATTTAAAATTTCATAATTTAATTGATTTAAAAATTTAAGTCATTAGAATAATAATTTGAATGCTTTTAGAATTTTTCTTAATTTCACGAAGGCTTAAAGATGAAGTCGAAAGCTCGGAATCAATCGAAATATTTCCCTCATTAGTGGAATAAAAATCAATTCTACGATATATATATATACACTGGCGCTCAAAATTGTTCGTACACCTGACAAATGACCTTGTTTCTTTAATATCTCAAGATGAGTTCAAGATATAGAGATGCGGTTTTCGCCAAAATGTAGCCCGTTTGTCATAGATCTTTTGCTGAAAGTTTCAGTTCTCTGAGTCTTATATTTGTTGTGTTAGACCAAAAATGAGGTCCTTTGATTTAGCTCAAAATATGTTGATTTCTCAGTATTTTCTCTGTAACCTTTTTTTTGTCTTCAACAAAGAGACATAATTGTTTTAGTAGAAAGATTTGCCATGAAATTCTCTACAAACTGGTCTATTTCACAGCAAATCTTTCTATTAAAACAATTATATCTTTTCATTGAAGACAAAAAAAAAAGTTACAAAGAAAATACTGAGAGATCAATGTATTTTGTCCCATTCGTTAGGTGTACGAATAATTTTGAGCGTCACTGTATATATCTTTACCTTATAAAGAAAATAAGTTGATTCAACAAATTCTGGTCTTAATGGATGTGATTTCCAATGTATTCTATAATCTGTTGTAAATGCTTCTGGTATAAATTTATGTTTTTTAACAATATTATAAAGCATTTCATGTAATTCAATAGCTGATTTTAAATCTCCTGTTAAAACTTGTAAACCAGGCCAAAATGCTAATAAAGCATCCATATATTTTTTTACTGAACGATATGGTTGATGCATATGAACATTAACCATTGCAACACCACGTTGAACATAAGACATTATAGATGAATAATGTTCTTCAAAACGTGATAAATAATCATTATTTTTTTCACCCAATAAAACATATGCTTTAAATAAATATTCATAATATGAATCAATACCAGCACCAATACCTGATTCACGTACAATCCAATCACCTGAATGTACATTAAGTATTGTACCCATTAAATTTGATTGTCGATGTCGTCGTTCCCATAAATATGACATAGCACGATCAGCATATTGTTCAAATAAATAATTTCCTGTTAAACGTGATAATGTTGCCCATTCTAATATTAATGTACCAGCACATGCTGTACATGTATAAAGTTCACGTTCACTTTTTGATAATGTTAAATCAATACCATAACGAAGATTAACACGTGGTAATGGTAAACCACTTGTTGTATTAAATGCTGGTAATAAACGTAAAGCTAAATCATGTGCAAGAATTAATAATTCATCATGATACCAATATAAACGAGATGGATTATGTAAATGAATATATTTTGCACATATATGACCACCAAGAAGACCACTAAAATAAAGAACAATATGTTGAAAAACTTATGAAAGCAACTATGAGAAGGACGTCGTAAGTAATATAAGAATGAAGAATCTTTTATTTTTAAGAACTTTTCGAAAATCACGTGATTAATTGTTTAGCCATTTCAGTAGTGGTCCTCTTTGTTTTGAGTGGGCAGCGACAACCTCGCTACGTGCTATAAAGAACATACGGTGCCACTAGAATAGCAGCGCTAGTGTTCCAGCTTCGTCGCTACGTTTCATTTCTTCATCTTCTTCCTTATAATAGAAATCGACTGCAAGCGAATTACCCAAGCAGACAAGAATTTTTGAAAGCGCATTTAAACGTTTTAATCACAGCTTCCCTTTGACCGTATTCATGTTCGTCCAGAAAACATAAAAACCAACTACTCTAATCATCAAAGATGTCTGAGGACAACTTTTACATCGGAAAAAATCTTCCTTCTGCATTTCGAACAAAAATGTCTTTTTATTTGCCTCGTTGCTTTTCGCTTTTTTCGCATTCCTTCTCTGAATTAAGCATTATTATTATTCTAACCTACAAATAAGCCTGTTGTGCATATCCATAGCAGATATCAACACACTATTATATATCTCGAGAAGCGCATAAACATTGATTTTGATTACTTCCTAAATTTGTAACTTGATCAGTTCATACTGTTTTTTTTACGGCTGTGTCAAATCAATGCGTCACGACTCATTATCCTTGACACCTTAAACATAAATTTTGATGTGCGTAAAAATCAAAAACCGCACCATTACGAAGATTCTCAAACGAATTCCAGCCATTCAAATTTCGAGAAATACTTTGAAATGTTCTAGAATAATCCAAGTCTTATTGTTTCGAGATTACCTCCCTCTCTCTAACTGACATATGATTTCTGAGCAGTCTCCTATCATCAAACTAGATTTACCCGACCATCCGAATATTTGTTTCAAATACAGAAACAATAACATCACGATCAAATGTAACATGTTGAATAACTTGACGAATGGCACGTTCAAATTCATCGAACATTCCAAGAACCTTTAAAAAAACAAAAGATTTTTAATTTAAAATAAAAAATAAAAATATTTTTGATTATATTACCGCTAAAGAATCCAAACTATCGACAAGTGTTAATGAAAAACTATATAAGAAAAAAAAAATAATAAGAAATTAATCTTCATGTTTAATATTGTTTTTTTTTTGTATACGTACTTTCCAAGTGCATCATCAATATCACCTCGTGATGGTTCAGAACCTCGATATCGACCTTTACAACTAGATAAACATATAATCATTTTGAATCATTCATTCAATTAATTTATTTACCTTAATGGCATTAATTCATCTGCAGGATAAGCATATTTCTATAAATAAAATATAATAAAATTAAATTTCAAAGAATTAATTCAATACCATATATGAACCGAATGCATGTTTAAACATATCAAGAACTTGTAGACGAAGTTGATTTTTTTCTTCTAATTTCATACAAGCCATCATTGATATAAAGATTAGAAGAAGAAGAAGAGTTGTATGAAATATTTTAATAGACATTATTCCAGTTGAAGCTTTAACAAAAATTTATATTCATTTATGATAATTTTAAACTAAGATTTTAATTTAATACATTGCATATTAATTAACAGAATAACAAAATGTTGGAATTAAAACATCGCAGATTTTATTTTTCTCATATTGCAAGATAGAAAGTATCGAAAATTCTAAAATTAAAAAAAAACTAAGATATGATTCATTGTTCATCATTCGATTTATGGTCAAATAGTAATTTTTCTAAGTTAGATGTCACTATCATATGGATCCCAGAATGTATGAAATGAGGATATGATTATTTTCATTACTGAGAGAAGAACTACAATGTAGTGGTATCATAAAATGAGGACTAGAAGAGGCTTAAACCTCCTTTTGAAGAGCTACCAGAGAGTCTGTGCCGCCTCTACAGATATGGTCAAGGGCTGGCACCCTACAACACTTTTCTGACTACGCCACTACC